TATCGATGATGTTTACACCCCAGGCACCTAGGTTCAGTGCCAACAATTGTATCCAACTGCACTCATAATAGACGCTACATTGGAAAGTGAAGCACTTTTTTTATCTGAATTAAAGTTACAACAATGCAAGCAAAGACTCTCTTGATTGGGGTCTGAACTCAGCCCTGATTCTGACTCCTGGCCCGGTGTGAACACAGCGTAGACTTCCGGTCTCAAGGTGATTCCTCGAAGTGCGGTCCCACCGTGGCTAAACACTCAAGACTGTAGTGTTTGTACTTCAGCTTTATTTTCTGCTTAAACCTAAGAAGGCTTGCAACATGCAACTTTTAACTGAATTTTGTATGTTTCTATGCTATACTATAATCACTACAATGTTTAACTTTTAACTTTGTTCTTTCTTTCTATCTTGTTCTAAGATTCTGTACCTAGGTACAGGCACCTAAGATAGTACCTTGTGTGGCGACATTATACACTTTTCACTGTACTCTTGTGCTTTTGTACTTCAGTACACATGACAATAAAATCAAAATCCATGGGATACAAGACTCATCTGCTGGCAGCTTCATTGTGCCACAGCAATTAAGTTTGGATTGTGAACATACAATGTCATACAATCTCTGCACTGTATCAAAGCTTTGTAATTTTATCATTCAATTTTTCCAACTTCCAAACACTTGAAAATTGAAAGCTGCTGTCACTTAGTCGTTGTTTTGTGACGATTCTCGCCTCTTTTATTCAGGCTGCCCTGCACTCTGATCCCTGGCCTTTCACACTTCGGTTAAATTTAACAAAAGCTGGTTGACTGTCAAGTTAATAAGTCCAGCTAAAACAGCAAAACATCAATCCATTTAAACAAAAACTTTACAAGTCTTCGCAGTTGTCCTGTATCATGGAGTGGAAACCAGTCTTAATGTCAATAACTCTGCTGGCTGCTCCATAAATGAGTTTGGGCAGTATCAAACTACTGGACTACTTAGACACAATGGCTAGTGTGAGAAACTTCACATTTGTGCTGTTGCAGATGCTCCTCTTAAGATTAATTTTAGTGTACAATTCTGGAGGAGGATGGTGGATACTTTATGCTTCAACTAAACACTGTGATGTGCATAAACGTGACATAATGAAAAAAGTGCTTTCTCCACTCAAGTCCATGTGGGCAAGGTGGCAGGGGCTGTGGCATGTACAGCATAGAACAAGTGCAAAGCTGCATACCATAATTAATGTCAGCTTATACAATGAAACAAACTCCAGTATAAAACTTCGCTGTCTGTACAACATCTGGAAAAGGCACTTTGAAACAGCAGTGATGCCATTACCGGAAAAATTAGATGAATGCACCAAAAGATTGTTATTATATTGAAACATACCTAGCAAGTAGATTTATCTTTATCAGATATCAAGAATTAGGAGGAGTACATGATTCAGTCTCTTGAGTTGGCTCACTCCACCCCAAAGATCCTCAACTCCTGTGTAAATCAAAAATCTGTCTAACTTGGCCTTGAATATATTAATAACTTTGTCTTCACCACTCTATGGAGTAAGAATTCTCAAGACTAATAACAGAAGTAGTTCCTCCTTGACTTCATTTGAAATGCAAGACCCCTCAAGCTTGACCCCATACCCCAAATTCTAGATTGCCCCACATCGAGGAACATTCGGCATTCATCATCAAGCCCATTCAGAATTTCGTATTCAATATGTTCCTATTCATTCTTCTAAATTCAAGTATAGGTCCAAATTGCTCAAAACTTTATTCATCCCAGAAATCAGCCTAGTGCACCTCCTCTGAGCAACTTCCAACACGAGTATGTCCCTCTGATTGAAATAAATTACATTAAATCCTGCAGCATGATATTCCTGAAAAGCTTCCAGTTATTATTTTCAGTCAATCACAAGACTGAAATACTGGTGGTGGCTGATGCATATGGAGGTGGCAAATTAAATACAAACAGGAAGCATAGCGATGTAGTCTTAAAGCGTACTGGTTCAGCTCTGATGCTCCCCTAGTTTAATGGCAAAGTTACTTAGCAAACTAGTGTCAAGACATTACGGGAAAACCGTACTTAAGCCAAAACAATTTATCACTGCACCTCATCACATATTCAATTCATAACCTCAAATTGCTCCCATCGCCCCGAGTAATAATACATTTGTAAATAGCAATACTTTACAGCTAAAAAGAATTATAGGAGGCTATCCAGCCCCTGGAGCCTACTTCACAAACCAGTTAATCATGGTTGTCTTAGTTCTGTAAGGGACAATTTAATCAAACGGCTCAAAACATTAGAGGGTATTTATGGTGTAGATTGGGGAAAAATCTACTGCTGCTGCTTCAGCAACTTAGGGTCAGGAGTCTAGTTTTTAAAATACAGTCAGACTGTTCAGGAGTAAAATTAGGAAACACAACCATACACAAAGATTTGGAACACTTCCATAAAAAGGGAGTTAGTGCTTGGACAGCTATAAATTTTAAAGCTGAGATTGAGATTTTTGCTATCCAGAGATATAGAGACATGGGGCAAAGGCCGGCAGATGGAGTTACGTCACATACCAAATACAGAATGGTATTAACAGGTTTCCGGTGTTAAATGGATTCCTCCTCCTAATCAAACTACTACAGCAGAGGAGGCAAACATTCGGTCCATTATGTTTATGCCAGCTCTCTGTACAGGAATCCAGCCAGTCCCATTTGCCTCACTGTCCCCTCAGCCCGACAAGTTTATTTCCCTCAAGTATCTATTCAACTTTGTTTTGAAATTATTCATCATCTCTGCTTCCACCCCCACTTCCTTGTGTGGGCAGCAAATCTATGTCATTAGCACCCACTTAAAAAAGTTCTTCCTCATTCCCCCAGACACCTCTTGTCCAAAGCCTAAAACCTATGTCCCCTCATCCTTGCATCAAAGCCAATGGGAAGAATTTCTCAGTCTACATTAGCCAACCTAATTTCACCTGGTCTATTAGTTCTCCTGTCAATCTCCTTTCTTCCATGGAGGATGAAGTCATCCTCTCTAAACTAACCTTGTCACTAAAATCCTTCAGCTCTGGGCCCAGGAATCATTCTGGTAAATCCCCACCCTACCCTCTTAAGGACCTTACATCTTTCTTAAAATTAAACACTTGTGCAGACAAAATAATGGAAGGTAACTTACTGCAATATGACTGCTTTCCTTTAAAATCCTTTGGCCTCAAAAAAGGAAAAGGAGCTTCAGATTTAATCATTACAAACTCAGATGAATGGTAAATACTACAGTCGCCATTTGTACCTCATTTTTGCACAGCTCCAAACATTTCCTGTAGATACAACTCAAGGTTGGGACGGTAAAATCTTTAAAATACATGCTGGGTCGGTTTCCCACATTGGTGTAGAGGAACATAGCAGAAGACACAAAATTGTCAAATCACTTATGTTTGACTGAAAACTTGGCAGCAACATAACCATACTATGAGATACATTTTGTTACAACAATCAAAGCATCAGAGTGTGTGGCGCATGTGGGGTTAAGGGTTTAACACTCTGTATTGCAAGGCTTGACAGTGAACTTTCATGTTAATAACACAACAACAAAAATCAACTGTTTTGCTCCTTCAGGTAGGTTTTCAGGACTTCAAATAATTAGGAATGAAGGTGCCAATACTGCTGTATCAACACTTTTGCAGCCCCAACTTGGAAAAATGAAAATGTGACCCAATTAAAAAAAAAACTGAAAATTCTACAAACTTCTCTGAGCAAAGAGTATGGAAACGGGGCTAATTTAAAGAGTTAGTCAAGGCACAACGGACCAAATGACTTCCTTTGGCAAGATTTGAATGTACGGGGATTTTCCTTAAGTGTGTACATAATGCCTTTTCAATCGTTTCCACCACACTTTCAAGCGACACACTCCCCGACAGTAACTTGCTGACAGCACCAATTCAGGCCTCTCTGGTTTTAACTGCTCCATCACTGGTGGCTGAGCATTCTGCTGTAACAGCCTGAGCTCCAGAACAGCTTCCCAAAACCCTGCTATCTTTGTGTACTTCTTCAACTTGCACCTTAACACCCAACTCTTAGTAAGGTTTTAGCGACCTGCCTTAACACTACCTGGTGTCAAACTGAAGTCAGGAACACTGTTGCACATTAGGTTGTATTATATTAAAAGGTGCTACACCAATGCAAGTGGTTGCAATTTTAATAAAAACTGTCATTTCACCTCCCTCGCAACTATCTTAAAATCAGCAACAAGAACAAACAAACAAACAAACAAACAATCAGCAAACCTAGCGGCATCAGTGGAAATAGAACGAGAGAGAATCAAAGTTAATATATGAGGGCAAGGTCCTTTTGTTACTCTCGCAGTGGATCCCGCCAGTGTTGAGATAACAAGGTGTAGAGCTGGATGAACACAGCAGGCCAAGCAGCATCAGAGGAGCAGAAAGGCTGACGTTTCAGGGCTAGACCCTTCTTCAGAAACTTGAAGTGCTGTAAGCATTTTCTGTTTTCAGTTCTGCAGTATTGTACATTTGTGTGAAATCCTTTTAAGTCCTTGCAGAGGGCAGGATTGGACTGGACCCAAAACTCTGGCTATACCCTCACCTCCAGGCTGGTGGGGGTTTGGAATGCAAGATGGAAACCAAAAGCACAAGAAAGTTGTGAGTGAAGTGCACTCTGATAGCAACCTTGCACCTATCTTGGAATCATGGGCGGAGGGGGAGAAGGGAAGCATAAGAAAGTTCAGTGAATGCATTCTGAGAGCAACCTTGCACCTATCTTGGAATTATGAGTGAACGTAAAACGGGGGAGGGGTTGTAAAGAGGGAAAGCATTAGGAAGTTCAGTGAGTGAAGTGCAGTCTGCTGGTAACCTTGAGGGGGGCTTGGAGCAGGCTGTCTGGTGTTTACATACAAACACATACCATGGGCTGTCAATCAAACATGGGGTCCCGCCTCCGGGCACGGCTATTGGCCAACGACCAGCCGCCTTCCCGCTCCCATTGGCCGGGACACACGTCGATCAGCCGCCGGGACCCATTTCCGGTCGGACGGCCTCCCTCCTCCTGCACAGCCCCCTCCCCAACAACCATCACTCTCCTCCCATCCCAACCCCCGCCCCCCCCCCCACCGACTCCAGCTCCTGATTCACAACTTTCCACCGGCGATAAAGAAACAAAAAGAAGACACGAACATCCGCCCGCCCGGCTTGCGTCCGCGCTTTCGGAGAAGAAAGGCTTTAAAACATCAGAAAACAAAACTCCATTCCGTCTGCAAACGTCGAGAGCCCTCGGTCTTTTTGTCTGCCCGGTTAGTTTTCTTTCTGCTTTACCTGATTTTTGAACTCCAGCGTCGGTAACTACCCTCCCCGCTGCTGCCGAATTGTTCAAGGAGGGAAAAGGGAAGGTTTTATTTTAATCGAAAGATTTGTTCCGAATCGCCTCAGTCTCTCGCTCGCGCTCTCTGTCTCCGTCTCGCGACGACTGGCGCCCGGGCCGGAAGCCAGCCCGCTGATTGACGTGAACCCTCGACCAATCGGAGGGATGGAGGGCGGGCCCTCCAGCTCTTAAAACTGCAGCGCCGCCGACAACAACTACCTGCATTGCCCTGGCGCCTGAAGTGCATTTTGTGCTTGGGGAATGGAAGAATTCTTTGGGGAAGCGGGTAGCTGTTGTGGCGTGCTGGTAGTCATAGAGTCATGCGGCATTGAAACAGGCTCTTCACCCCACCATCTCTATGCTGACTACACACAGAAGAAATAGGATCAGGTGTAGGCCATTCGGCTGCTCAAACCCATCATGGCTAATCTTTTCGTGGACTCAACTCCACTTACTTGCCCGGTCACCACAACCCTTAATTCCTTCACTGTTCAAAAATCTATCTTTTCCTTCAAAACATTCAACAAGGTAGCCTCAACTGATTCGCTGGGCGGGGAATTCCACGGATTCACAACGCTTTGGGTGAAAAAGTTCCTTCTCAACTCAGTCCTAAATCTGCTTATTTGAGGCTTATTTTGAGGCTCTGCCCCCTAGTTCTAGTTTCACCTGCCAGTGAAAACGACCTCCCTGTTTCAATCTCATCTATTCCCTTCATAATTTTATGTTTCGAGATGATCCACCCTCATTCTTCTAAATTCCAGTGAGTATAGTCCCAGTCTACTCGATCTCACCTGAGAAGCCAACCTTCTCAACTCCGAAATCAACCTAGTGAACCTCCTCTGCACCCTCCAGTGTGCTTTCTCAAGTGCACTCATCTCCTTTGCCCACCCTTGGTCCATAGCGTTTTGTGTGCTGATCCACATGCTTCTTACATGTTGCAAGTGTACCTGGCTGCACCACCCTCGCAGACAGCACTATCTGTACCTCTGTGCCAAGAGGCTTGTGTTCAAGCCTCATCCTGATTCAGAGTTGTGTAATAACATCCCTGACAGGTTGTTTAGGAAACAAATGGGAGAGATTCCTGGAGATGATGCAGAGTTTATTTTTATTTATTCACAGGATGAGGGCAAAACTGGGTAGGCCAGCATTAATTGCCCATCCCTAATGGCCTGGAGGACAATTAAGAGTCAACCATATTGCTGTGGGTCTGGAGTCACATATAGGCCAGACCAAGAAAAGATAGCAGTTTCCTTTCCTTAAAGGTATTAGTGAACCAGATGGGTTTTTCCCCAACAATTGGCAGGGTCATCATTAGAGTCTTAATTCCAAATTAAGTCCTTGGGGGATTTGACAAGGTAGATGTGGAAAGGTTTTTTCCCATTGTTGGAGAGTGCAGGACCAGAGGGGGACAACGAAAAGGGCGGCACGGTGGTTAGCACCGCTGCGTCACAGCGCCAGGAACCTGGGTTCGATTCCACCCTCAGGTGACTGTCTGTGTGGCGTTTGTATGTTCTCCCCATGTCTGCGTGGGTTTCCTTTGGGTGCTCCAATCTCCTCTCAGTCCAAAGATGTGCATGTTAGGTAAATTGGCCATAGTGTTCAGGAACGTATAGATTAAGTGGGTTACAGAGAGATGGATCTAAGTAGGGTCCTCTGAGGGTCGGTATTACTTGTTGGGCTGAAGGGCCTGTTTCCAAACTGCAGGGATTGTATGAAATATTTAGTGAATTCAAATTTCACTATCTACCATAGTGGGATTCAAACCTGGGTCCCCAGAACATTACCTAGGTCTCTGGGATACCAGTCCAGCAATAATACCATTAGGCCATTGCCTCCCTCTGTGAACATGGAATCGTAATGGAGGGAAGGTGGAATCCTCTACTGTCATTACCTACAACCAGAAAGCAGGGGGGTTATTTGGCCTGGATGACTAATTTGCAATTCAGTAATGCCATGGGTTCAATTCCCACACTTACTGAGCTAACTAACCTGTTAACCTTCTCAACTTCTTGTGACCCTCAGCTTAAACTCACCACCTGTCATTTCTCTCCAATGAGAGACTTTACCATCATGGATGGCCCTGACAGGAGTTGAGAACTCTTGCCAGCATCACTCATGGGATCAATAAAACAATTAACCCTCTCCATTGTAGCCAGTCGGCAGTCCGTTGCAAGGCACTCAAACAAGAGGAGAACAAAGAAAGCATTTCAAAGACTCATCGAAGTCTTCCCTCAAGAAATGCAACATGGCTGTCAATGCTTGGGAAACCCACGTACCAGCCTGGAGGAATCCCTTGTTTGAAGGGACATAATTTTTTTAGAACATCCATTGACAAGCTAAAGACCAAGGACCAATTCCATTTCCCAAAAACACCTGTCAAATGTATGGTTGGAGATGTGGCTGTAGGATTGGGCTCATCAGCCACATAAGGACCCACAGAACCCATGACCCCATGACCAGTGACACGGAATTTCCTAGGAGGACAATCATACTTGTTAGTGAGTGATCAATGTCGAGTGAGAGAGCAGCCCTTTGGTCCTCTGGATAACTTTACCTTTAGTTTTATCAGACTGGATGTCATGGATTTATCCACCTTGATTTGGTGTCCAGTGGATTGGGAGAGGCAGTGGAAATCTTGGGTTGTGTTATAATAAAAGCAAAATACTGCAGATGGTGGAAATATGAAACAATGCTGGAGAAACTCAGCAGGTCTTGGCAGCATGTGTGGAGAGAGAAATAAAGTTTGTGCTTTGAAACTTCTTTCTGAAGAAGATTCCACCTGAATCTCTTTGACTCCAATATTCCATCAAGTGCAGCCTTGATGTCAGGAGAAGTCATTCTTATCTCATCTCTGGAGTTCAGCTTTTGTTCCTGCCCACTAACAGTTGGTTTATTGAAAAATCATCATACCAGAAGGTGCCAAATTATGGTGACAATACAAATGAACAATTAACCATAATTTATGACAATTTTACACAATTGTTAGAATGAAAGTAAGTAATTAAGGTAGAATAAAAACAAAGTACTGAATAAACTCAGCAGGTCGAGCTGCATCTGTGGACAGAGAAACAAAATAATTGTTTGAAGGCAAATATGATTCCTTCAGAACCCGAAGTATAGAGGTGGTGGCAGGCATTCAAGAGAGGATGGGTGATTAACTGAATGGAAAGAATGTCAGGATAATGAGGGAGAAGGCATGGGTGTGACACAAGGAGTGCAGGCACATTACACTAAATGTTCTGCAGTGAAGGATGCTATGTAAATGCAATTCTTTGTTTTCCCTTTGTTTGAAACAACACCAAATAGCATTTCAAAAACAAAATTGCAACAGGGTAAAAACACTACTGATTTGTCTTAGTTCTTTCCTCCACCAATACTGCCATCTGGTGGACTTATGGGGAACAAGTCAATATTGCCAAGTGCCAGAGGCAACTTGAAGCAATTATCCAGTCCAATATAATGCGGTGAAATGCATTCTCGAGTCCAGTTTCCCACCCTATCATGCTGGGAAGGGAAACCATAATGCTCCCAATGGTTCAAATCCAATCTGTTATCTTGGACAGCCTGTCGCTTGATGAGGCATCAAAGTTTGATATTAGCCCTAAGCTCCCCGAAATGTCCAACAGGCAGTTTTTTTGGTTGTTTCCAAGGATTAAGAGAGATTAAAGAAAACAAGGTTTGTATTCCTTGGTTAAAAACCAAAAGAACTGCAGATGCTGTAAATCAGGAAGAAAAACGTAGTTGCTGGAAAAGTTCAGCACGTTTGGCAGCATCTGTGAAGGAAAAAACAGAGTTAACGTTTCAGGTCCAGTGACAGTTCTGAGGAACGGTCACTGGACCCGAAACGTTAACTCTTTTTTTTTCCACAGATGCTGCCAGACCTGCTGAACTTTTCTGGCAACTTGGTTTTTGTTGTATTCCTTGGATTTGGGAAGGATAAGGGGCAATTTTATCAAGGTTTCCCAAATGTTAAGAGGAAATGATAAAGAGAAAGATATAAAGTATTTTTGCTGCTTGGAGAATCTCTCTCTCACTCTCTGGCAGTCTCTCAAGATGGGGACTATAAAATAAAGGAGCTGAAGTAGGCCATTCAGCCCATCAATTCTGCTCTGCCATTCAATGTGATCATGGTTGATCTGATAATCTTAAGCTCCACTTTCCTGCCTTATCCCAATGACTGTTCTTTCCCTGACTGATTAAAAATCTGTCAGTCTCAGCCTGGATACATTTAACAAAGCATCCTCTACAGTTGTCTACAGGAAATAATTCCACAGATTTACTATCCTCTGAGAGAAAACAAACCTCTTTATCTTTACTGGCTGATCCCTTACTCTGAGATTTTGTCCTCTGGTCCTAGATTCTGTTACAAGGGGAAACAACCTCTCTGATTCTACTGTGTCAAACACTAAGAATCTTAGCAGGCCTGGACAGTTCTGAAGGTCACTGGACCGAAACATTAACTCTGCTCTCTTTCCACAGATGTTGCCAGACTTGCTGAGATTCTCCAGGAATTTCTGTTTTTGTTCCAGATTTCCGGCATCTGCAATCTTTGTTTTGTTTTAGCCTCTAAGAATCGTGTATGTTTCAATAAGTACGTTTGCCATGGAGCCTGTGGCAAGAGTTCTCATGTGAACAGTTTTAACATGGGTGCTTTGAGTATAGGAATTGGGACATCAGGTTGGGGTTGTACAGGACATTGGTGAGGCCTCTTCTGGAATACTGTGTCCAGTTCTGGCTGGCCAGGTATAGGAAGGATATTATTAAGCTGGAGAGGGTTCAGAGGAGATTTACCATTATGTTTCTGGGTATGGAAGGTTTGAGTCATAAAGAGAGGCTGGAAAGGCTGGGACTTTTATCACTGGACCGCAGGAGGGTGAGAGGCAACCTTATAGAAGTTTATAAAATCATGAGGCGTATGGATAGGGTTACTGGAAGGTGTCTTTTCCTTAGGATGGGGGAATTTCAAAACTAGGGGACACATTTTTAAGGTGAGAGGAGAGAGATTTAAAAAGGACATGAGGGGCAAATTCTTTACCCAGAGGGTGGTTTGGGTGTGGAATGAACTTCCTGAGGAAGTGGTGGATGTGGGTACAATTACAATATTTAAAAGACATTTGGATAAT